GCCGCCGCCCAGAATAGAGTCGTTGGGAGAACCGCCGCCGCCGCCGCCGCCAGAGCGCTCTATCCGCGAAGACGCGAACTCGCGCCCTGCGGAGCGCCGCGTGGACGGTGCAGATTGTGCGTGGGCGGGTGGAGTACGATCGAGATGTTCAAAACTTGGAGGGGATTGACATTTGGAAATAATTGTAGGGTCATCCAAATATAACTGTTTAAAGAAACCTCCATTCCAATACTTTTGATGTCGCCGACTGACAATAAGTACGTTTCAACTATCTTCTTCGGCATTTATTTGCAGTTGTTTCCTTCGGCAGAATTTGTACTGACATTTCACGAAAGCTTCATTTCGTCGGTTTTGTCTGAGAAGTATTGATGTAATGTGGCGTGCGTTCATTGCACACCAGGACAGTATGGATGGCCGGGATGATAATGGGTCTGCTGATGCTGTGGAGTGCGCGTCCACCTGTGAATGGAAAGGCCAGATCGGTCCGATTAGGAGAATGAAATGGAGGCGTCAGCCTGGAGCAGGTGGGCGGATCGCGAATGAATGGGAAGAGAAATAGCGTGCGAGGCGTGGAGAGAGCGAGAGAGAGAGAAAGAACTGATGGCGCGATGTGGATGGACTGAGAGATCGTCCGACGGGAGTGTGGTGGACTGAGAGGTAGAGGACACAATGGAGTGGAATGGAGCGACACGGTGTAAGTTGGGACTGCGAATCGGCGTCAGTGCTGTCACGATGACTGGCGAAGTAAATGAGCAGTGGGCGACAGGAAAGGAGCAAATGCACTGTGTGATGCGACATAGCACGTGAAGACTTGTACAAAAGGTGAAAAATAGAGAAACATCGGGTCACCTTAATTTCCAGCATTTCTTTATTTGTGTTGACATAACTTATAGTATACTTTCGTCTCTTCTTAATAAACTATTTCGGAAAATTTTGGTTTCTGAAATTAGAATTTATCAATTTCTGTGGCAATGCCGTGCAGATAGTGTAAATTACTAAAAGAAATTCTAGTTTTTAGACAACATACGAACAATCTGCAGGGTTCCTTTTTTCTGGGCTTACTGGTTGAATATGCTGCACCTGACAAAATGTTTGCAAAATTTTACCCAGGGTCAATACTGCCTAGTTTGTATTGCAACGAGATGGGTATCGACTTTGATACTTTGATGCGATGACTTTACCCCTTTTCTTCCAACAATGCTACATTAGCATTTAGAAACACCCATTCCAAACACTCTTTACCCGGGTAGTTTGGTAGAAATTTGCAGACGTAATGCAAAGTATTACGAAAAATAAGGTTGAGTTCGACGGCCAACTATCCGGGTAGGAACACAACACCAATAGCTGCGGGAGTTCCAAGATTTACAGTTCGAATACGAAATAAGTTACTTGTACACAGAAAGCAAGGTTTTGTGCGGTCTTTATTATAGAACAAAAAACCGTTATTTGATCTTCGGTCGAAATGTGAATGTGGACTCTGCTATTTACCAATCTTGGGTCCACCACGCTCCAACTTGATAGGTGAAGACATCGCCTCCAAACCTTCACATCATGGTCTTACTACGTAAGCTATTATTGTTTCGTCTACTGCAAATTGAATTTGTTGCCTCACACAGGTAGAACGATAACTCCAGGGCTGAAATCGGGAGAGGTGACTTCGGGCATCAATTGATGTCACTGCAGTCCCTCTGGCCTAGATTCGAGTCTCGACGATGGCAGTATTTTTGACACTAGCTAAGTCGAGTTCAATCCTATCTGGAGGAGAATTCTAACGACTGGCTGCTTTGATTGGTAGTATTCCGTGGTTTCTCTAATCAATACTCAATGAATTCCGGAGCAGTATCCTAACAAATGAGCCCCGGACTGCGCGCGTTCTTTCCTTCCGCTTCCTAGTCCTATCCTCACACCTTCCACACCACGAATATGCACTGCATTAACACAACATTCTGGGACCCCGGTCGGGAGCTCAGAGCTTATCCCGGCTCTGCCCCGCTGGAGGGAGATACTTGGTTGGGGGAAACTCTGCTAGCCGACGGTAGGTCGGGCCAGATCTCGCTATCCAGCAGGGAAAGATAATGCGTAATGGGACTAATGACCATAGCAGTTGATGCGCCATAAATCACTAATGAATCAATGAATCCAGGGATGAAAATGAGATAGAATGTTGCATGTAATGTAATATAAAGTGTAATAATGTGTAACGTAAGTTAGCGTGTGTCTAATGTGCAAGGTAGTAAGTACGCTAGTGTCCATCGCAGGCCAGTGTGTTACGTAAGCTAGAGTGTAACGCAAGTGGTTGTGCGAGTGCCCGTCGTCGGCCAGCGTGTAACGCGGCGCTTGCGTGTCTCAGGGTTGGGCCTGCCGCCCGAGTACCTGGCGTCGCGCGCGCTGTCCGACCTGGGCGCGGGGCCCGTGGCGTCGTCGGCGGGCAGCGCCGAGTTCGCCGCCGTGTTCGCGCTGGACGCCGCCGCGGCCGCCGCCGCCGCCGCGCACGCGTCCGGATGATGTGGTAGTTGTGTGTGTGAAGTTCTGAGCTCCATGTTGGGGGTGCGCGGGGCGGCCCGTTGACAGGGAGGACGACCACTGTGGCACCCCTAGCATAAACGCACCTTGCTCGCGTCAGTACTTGTAGCGCGCAGCTGTGAGCCGGACTCGTATCCGGCGTTCAGGGCCGACCTCGGCCCCGTCTCGAGCGGTTATCGTGGCGGCGGAGGCGGACAGGCGGCGCGGACTGTTCCGCGTCGGCGCGGCGCGCCCCGCTTTCAAGCGCTGTGAGCCCGCTCCAGCAGTCGGATCGCCGGGGCGCGGGCTAGGCGGGGTGACGTTGCAGCTGCGGGGGCGTTTTCGCGCCGCGCCCTCGGCTGCCGCTCCTGGCTCCGCACAGCAATGAGCTCTCCGGGCACTCGCGGCGTTATGCTTGCGGGAT